ACAGACAGACAGACAGACAGACACACAGACGCACAGACAGACAGACAGACAGACAGACAGGCAGACACACACAGACAGACAGACAAATACGGACACAGACACACAGACACACAGACACACATACACAGACAGACAGACAGACAGACAGACAGAGACAGACAGACAGACAGACAGACAGACAGACAGACACACATACGCACCGACAGACAGACAGACAGACACACAGACAGACAAACGCACAGACACACATACACGCACGCGCGCGCCCGCACACGCACGAGCACGCAGACGCACAGACACAGACACACAGACACAGACACACAGAGACACAGACACAGACACACAGAGACACATACATAAAGAGACGCAGAGACACAAAGGAACAGAGAGACAGAAACACAGACACACAGACGCAGAAACAGAGACAAACAGACACACAAACACACATAAACACAAATACACCCACGCACACACGCCCACGCCCACGCGCCCCCCCACCCACGCCGCGCCCACACGCTCCCACGCACGCGCGCGCACGCACGCACGCATGCACGCGCGCATTCGCGCACGCGCGCACGCGCGCACGCGCGCGCGCGCCCGCGCGCCCACCCGCCCACGCACACGCACAGACACACAGACACACAGACGCACAGACACACAGACACGCAGACACACAGACACACAGACACACGGACACAGACACACAGACACACAGACACACAGACACACAGACAGACAGACAGACAGACACACAGACGCGCAGACGCACTGACAGACACACAGACAGACACACAGACGCACAGACACACAGACATACACGAACGCGCGCGCGCACGCACGCGCTCGCGCACGCGCGCACGCGCCCACGCGCGCGCCGCGCACGGCACGCACGGCACGCGCGGCATGCACGGCACGCACCGCGCACACAGCAGGCACGGTACGCACGGCACGCACGGCACGCACGGCACGCACAGCGCGCACAGCACGCACGGCGCGCACGGCGCGCACGGCACGCACGTCGCGCACGGCACGCGCGGCGCGGATGGCACGCACGGCGCGCGCAGCACGCGCGGCACACGCAGCACGCGCAGCACGGCACGCACGGCGCGCACGGCAGGAACGGTACGGTTCCCACCGCACGTACGGCACGCACGGCACGCTCGGCACGCACGGCACGCGCGGCACGCGCGGCGCGCGCGGCGCGCACGGCGCGCACCGCACACACTGCGCGCATGGCACGCACGGCGCGCATGGAACTCCCGGCGCGCACGGCGCGCACGGCGCGTGCCGCGCGCATCGCACGTTCCGCGCGCACCGCGCGCACCGGGCGCACCGCGCGCAGCATGCGCGCACCGCGCGCTCCGCGCGCACCGCGCGCACCGCCCGCGCCGCCCGCGCCGCGCGCGCCGCCCGCACCGCACGCACCGCGCGCACCGCACGCACGGCCCTCACCGCTCACACCGCGCGAACCGCGCGCACGCGGCACGCACGCACGAAAGCACGCACGCGCGCACGCACGCGCGCTCGCGCGCGCATGCCCGCGCGCGCGCGCCCCGCGCGCGCGCGCCCGTGCGCCCGCGCGCCCGCGCGCGCGCACGCACGCATTCACGCGCTCACGCACGCGCGCCCGCGCGCCCGCGCGCCCGCGCGCCCGCGCGCCCGCGCGCCCGCCTGCCCCCTGCCCGCCCGCCTGCCCTGCCACGCACGCACGCACGCATGCGCGCGCGCGTGCGCGCGCCCGCTCGCCCGCCCGCCCGTTCGCCCGCCCGCTTGCCCGCCTGCCCGCCCTCCCGCCCGGCCGGCCGCCCGCCCGCCCGCCCGCGCGCCCTCTTGTTCGCCTGCGCGCCCTTGCGCCCGCGCGCCCGCCCGCCCGCCCGACCGCCCGCGCCCGCGCGCCTGCGCGCCCGCGCCGCCCGCGCGCGCGCGCAAGCGTGCATGTCTGCGCGCGCGCGAGCGCGAGCACGCGCGCGCGCGCGTGCTCGGCACGCGCGCGCGCGCGAATGCACGCGCGCACGCGCGCATGCACGCGCGCGCGCGCGCGGCTCGCGCGCGCGCGCCCCCCCCCCCGCGCACGCGCATTCGCGCGCGCGCATTCATATTCGCGCGCAAATTCGCAGTCTCGCAGCGCGCACGCGCACCCGCGCACCCGCGCACGCGCGCACGCACGCACGCGCGCACGCACACGCGCACGCGCGAACACGCGCACGCACGCGCACGCGCACGCACGCGCACAAACACACACACACACGCACACACGCATGCACACGCGCACGCACGCACCTACACATACATACACACATAAACGCTCACGCACATTCGCAAACGCGCGCGCACGCGCGCGCGCACACGCACGCGCGCACACACACGCGCGCGCACACACGCACACACACACACACGCACACAAACCCACGCACGCGCACCCACACACCCACACCCAAGCGCATCCATACGCACGCACGCACACATGCACACACGCACACACGCACGCACGCAGAGACGCAAGCACGCACGCACGCACGCACGCGCGCGCGCACGCACACACACGCGCGCGCACGCGCGCGCACGCGCGCGCGCATGCGCGCAAGCACGCACGCAAGGACGCGCGCGCATGTACGCGCGCGCGTTCGCGCGCGCGCACGCTCGAGCCCGCGCGCCCGCGCGCGCGTGCCCGCGCGCCCGCGCCCGCGCACCCGCGCGCGCGCGCAGGCGCGCGCTCTCGCGCCCGCGCGCGCGCGCACAGCACGCACGCGCGCGCCCGCATGCGCGCGCGCCGGTCACGCCTGCGCGCCCGCGCTCGCACTTGCGCGCTCGCACGCGCGCAAGCGCACGCGCTTATGCAAGCGCAGAGCGCACGCGCGCGCACGCGCGCACGCCCGCGCACGCGCACGCACGCGCGCGCACATGCGCATGCACACGCGCGCACGCGCTCACGCAAGCACAGAGCGCACGTGCGCACGCGCGCGAATTCGCGTACTCGCGCACGCGCGCGCACGCGCGCGCGCGCGTCAGCGCAGGGCGCGCGCGCGCGACAGCGCGGACACGCGCTCGCACGCGTGCGCGCGCGCACGCAGACACACGCACGCGCAGACATGCGCACCGCGCACCGCGCGCGCACCTTGTGCACCACGCGCACCACACACACTACACACACCACACGCACGCACACGCGCACGCGCATTACACGCGCACGCACACACATCACACAGCACACAACACCACACAACACAACGCACATCAAACACCACGCAACATACAACACACAACGCGCAACCCACAACGCACAGCACACAACGCACCACACACAACACAACACACAACACACACAACATACAACATACGCAACGCACAACACACTCTCACACTCTCACACATTCTCACACACTCACACTCGCATACACTCACACACTCTCACACACTCTCGCACACTCTTCTCACGCAATCACACTCTCACGCACTCTCACTCACACGCACACGCGCACACGCACACACGCGCACACGCACACACACACGAACACAAACACACACGTACACACACGCACACACGCGCACGCACACGCGCGCGCACGCATGCGCACGCGCGCGCACGCACACACGCACTCGCACATACGCACACACGCACACACACACGCACACGCACACACACACACGCACGCCCACGCACACACACATGCACCACACACAATCACTCACGCACAGACACACACGCACACGCACACACACACACACGCACGCACGCACACACACACACACACACACGTGCACACACAAACACACACACACACGCACGCACGCACGCATGCACGTATGCACGCATACACTTACACACGCACACACGCACGCACGCACACGCACACGCACACGCACACACCCACACACGCACGCGCACACGCACAGGCACGCGCGCACGCACGCGCTCACGCACCCGCGCACGCACGCGCTCACGCACACGCGCACGCACACGCGCATGCACACGCACACGCACACGCACACGCACATGCACACGCACACGCACACGCACACGCAAACGCATACGCACGCGCACACGCACACGCACACGCACGCGCACACGCACCCGTGCACGCACACGCACACGCACACACACACACGCACACGCACACGCACGCGCACACGCGCACACGCTTTCGCACACGCAATCACACGCGCGCGCACTTGCACACGCATTCGTACTCGCACACGCACTCACACACGCTCGCGCACACGCGCGCGCATGCACGCACGCGCGCACGCGTGTGCATGCGCGCATACGCGCATGTGCGCACACGCGCACACGCGCTTACACGCATATGCGCTTGCGCAAATACACGTTTACACTCTGACACGCCTTCGCGCTTATGAACTTACGCGCTTGCGCGCCCTCGCGCCTGCGCGCCTGCGCGACTGCGCGCTTGCGCGCTTGCGCGTTTGCGCGCCTGCGCGCTCGCGTGCATGTGTGGCCACTTTGTGTCGAGGCAGTGAACCGCGCGACGACCGCGAGTCCGTTCGCGGGCGACTCTGAGCGCGAGGGGGTATGCGCCTTGAAGCCAGATGCGACTTCTCACAAGTGCTGTCTCGTGGCCTGCGTGGTCGCCTTCTATCTTTCGCGGGTCCCGCAGTGCGTGGCGCGCATCGACGGAGTCGAGCCGGCGCAGCAATGGCGGGCCATGGGGGGGCAGGCTCGGGTGGTGGGTGGTGGTGGAGCGCGACGCGAGCGCTGCGGGCGCAGTGCCGCGGGCTCTGGGCGCGAACGGGCCAGTGCATGGTGTTGCAAGGGCTCCACGGGCAAGGGCGACTCGAAGTGGTGGAACCACGCCGACCAGCTCTGCTGCTCCAAGTGTTACATGCCCAAGGCGCGAGCTTTCTGTGGGAAGGTCCAGCCGCTTTCGCCGTCGCAAGGGCCGCGCGGGCCGCCCGGCGAGGCGGAGGGCGGCGCGGCGCGCAGCGCAGGCAGCGAAATGACTGAAAGACCCACGCCGTGGGGGCACAACGTGGCGCTCCGCGAGATCGCAATTCTCAAGGCACAGCTCCTGGCGAACGGCCAAGCTCGGGGCGCCGCGGCCGACGTCGCCATGGGGGACGGCGCTGAGCTTGGCGCGGATGCAGCCGCCGTCGAGCGGCAGAGAACTCGCCGAGGAGGAAACGCATCCGCGCTCCTCTCGAGGAGCTCCCACGGCGCCTGCGGGAACCATCACATCGAGAAGCATATCGAGCCAGACAAGCAGGAGAGGGGCCGCATCCGCGCCGAGATGCAGCTGGCCAGGCCGCTGGCCGCCAGGCCCCAGAGCATCTCGGACTCCATGGAAAGGGCCCCGACCAGCATGGGCCAAGGCAAGAAGTCGGCGGAGGAGAGCTGTCGCGATCGCTGAAGAGCAGGGGGCGCGCGTCGCCGAGCTGGAGGTGGAACTCTTGGAGCTCCAACAGCAGCGCGCGGACGCCCCGCGCGGAAACCCTCCGCCGCCGGTGCGGCAGGGCGCAGAGGCAGGGCGGCTTCAGCCCGCCGTGGACACTTCCATCGTGCAGATGGATACCGTGCTCGGCGCCATCGGCGCGGGCCAACCCATCCGGCAGCAGGAGCAGGCGCTCGTCGTGGGGCTCCAGGCCGAGGAGGCAGCAGCAGCAGCCAAGCGAGCGCGGCAGGCCGTGAAGGCAGCTGGCGCCCCGGCCGCCGCAGCCGGCACCGTCGGTGCGCCCCGCCAATCTGATGGCCTTGTGGCGCCGGCGGCCGTCGCAGCAGCCCAGGCCGCGGCAGCCCCCGCCGTCCCCGCACTGGACATTGCCGACGTCGGGGCCATCCGTCAGTGGCTCATGTGCATCCAGCACCCATAGGGTAGAGGACCAGGATGCCATCTCGCCAGCCATGGTCATGCAAGAGGCCAAGGAGCCGCGCTGCCCGCTGCGGCTGATATGGCCCCTGCTGCAGCGCTGCGGCCAGCCGCGCGTGTTGCGAGCGTTTGACGGTGTCTCGTGCGTGGTCGTCAGTTTTCTGGGCACCGTCGCGGGATGCTTGCGCGCCGCCGCCGTCCTCAGAGTGCTGCTCGCGCAGACACGCGCAAGGCGGCATGTCGCGTCCTTGCGGTAGTCGCGTGAGCATTGGTGGACGGCGTCGCCCTGCAGTGGCGAGGAGTGGCTGACCCTGGCGTGCAGGCCCTCGCGGACACCGCCAAGGCCTTCTCTCGCGACCTCCAGAAGATGCAGGTCCACGTGTTGAAGGACAAGCTGGCGTGCGTTTCCACCAGCCGTGCCGCCGCGAAGGCCTTCATGTCGCGCGCGCGGAGGCTAGCTATCCCCAGGAAGCGATGGGCGCGCAACCTGGGGGCAATGCGCCAGCGGCGCCGCCGGTTGGATATGGTCAAGCAAGCAGCTGGGCGTCGCCTCGGCGGCTGGTCATGGTGCGGGTGCCAGCGGCGCCTCTGACGAGCAGTTGCGCCCGCGGCCGTTCCGCGGCCTCGCGGGTGCTCTCGCGACGCGGCAGGCGGCGCTGTGCGACCCGCTCTTTGTCGCCACCGTGCCGCTCATCGACAGGTGCGCCGCTTGGTGTTAGGGCGGCCGTGCTGCGACTCCTGACGTGCAGAGCGTCAGGCAGATGCATGCGAGGGGCCCGACGCCCGCGCCAGCTGGCCCAGGGTGAGGGTTCATGGCCTCCGGGTGGATGTCCGTGCGGCGCATCGGCTGGTGCGCGCGCTCCTCGCATTGGCTGTGCGACGGCCATGGGCGGGTGATATCGTTGCTGGACACGGCGCCCCGCGACGTCTGAGACTTGGCGGTGGAAGGCATCGAGCGGTGGCAATGCTGGCAGCTGGTCAACGCCCTCCCTGGAAGCAACGGCGAGGTCCCATGGCGGCGCGTCCCGGGCGCCTGCGTGGGAGAGGGCCGAGGGTCAGCCGCAGCCCTGCCAGGCAAGGGGCGCAACAGTCTCTGTGGGCGGACGGCATGTGGCCCCGGGCTCGGCGCCGGGCCCGGGGCCTATCCCAGTCGGCGGAGCGCGCAGCTTGCGCGGCGCTGAAGGAGACGAGTGGGCACCGCTGGCTTGGCGCGCGGGCGTGGCGCAGGCCGCCGAGGAGGAGCAGGAGCTGGGCAATGTTTTCCCCGGGTGTGAGGCAGCTGCGCGGCGCGCTGTCCTGCTGCGGCACCCCGACCCCGACGACTGGGAGAGCCTCAAACTCGCGTGCGGCTTTCCGCTGATGCCCGCCGCGTGCGACGTCCTCCCAGACCTGAGCGTGCGACGGCGCGGAAATTGGGAGACGCGTCGGTGCTTTGGGGCGCAACCATCTACGGCGACGGCCCCTAGCTCCGCCTTCTACAATGACGTGGAGGAGCTGCGCCAGTGTGGCTGGGCCATCGTGATGCTGGGCCAGCATGGTCGACCCATCCGCGCGCTCTTTGGGGGTCTGCCTGGCCGTCGGAGCACAGGGGGGGGGCAGAACGGTTTGCAGGGTTCCACGCAGTCTGAAACGGCGCCTACCTGAGGCTGCTCGTCGCGCGGATTTGCGCTGTTTTGCGCGAGAGGCAGACAGCTGGCAGGAGGGCGCGGCCGCCTGGCATGCGCGGCTGTGCGGGGGGGGCATTCGCCGAGCTGTCGGCGCGCGGCGGTCGCCCCAAGTTCTGCGGGCGCCAGCGAACCAGACCCTCGAATACATTGCCGAGGGCGCCGCGCTGGGCCCGATCCACTGGCTCGGCAACGCCTGGGCCGATTGGTTCGCCAAGCTGGGGGCGCTGGAGGTGGCCCTGCCGCGGGGGCTTGCCCGGGCGCTGAGGGTGCGCGGCGAGGGGGCAGTCAGCCGCGCGAGGTATTTCTCGGGCGGCGGCGCGAGTCTCGAGCAGCAAGGCAAGGCGTTGATATCGAGCGAACCGCGAGCCCCTCCCAGGCCAGGGCACGAAGGTATGGTAATGGCCGTTCTTGTGGAGCACTGCGACTGGCGCGTCCAGCAGCGCCCGCTGCCTGGCCTGCATCGCGTCGGCGAGCGCGGAGGAGAGCCGACGGCGGGCGCGGCCGTGCAAGGAAGGCCGCCCCGCTCACCGGGGCGTAGGCGGCCGCGCCAGCCCGCGCCCGGGCTTCGCTGCAGGAGGCCGTGCCTGGCGCCGAAGGGCAACCTGTGGGAGTTGAGAAGTGCTCGGATGAAGTGGGCTGTATTGCCAGCGAGGAGGGCGCCGCTACGGTGGAGGCGGAGGTCGGTGCCTGCTGTCGGCCGCCAGCAGCGCGCCCGCCAAGAGGATGCCGCCATGACAGCTAACCACCATGCTGGAGTGGACCCGGCACCGGCATCAGACTGCCTGGCCGCGGCGGACGAGCAGGCGAAGACAAGGCCCTGCGCCCGAGCGGCCACGGGGCAGCGCCAGCTGCGTGCGCGCCGACCGCTGGGGCTGCCCGCCCCGTGAGGCCCCGCGGCGGCGGGGTGGCCAATGCCCTTGCGCGAGATGATCATCTTGGCCGCTTGAGCGGCGACGGCAGCGATCGGCCTGCCGGCGTTCTCAGCGGCCAGACCTGCGAGGCCCCCCTGCGGGGGGGCTGGCGGACGCCCTCGCGCGGAGCAGCGATGCTACCGCGACAAGGAGGGCGGGCCCCAAGTAGCGCGATTCGGCGCGGTAGCTTGCGAGGCTCGCCGAGGACACCCCGACCACGCTTGTCCTGCAGTGGGTGCCAGGCGCCCAGGATGAGACTGTGGGGGGGCTCGCTCGACGGCTGCAAGACTGTGAGGACTATGTGCAGGCGACTTTGCACGCGCTCCAGTGCGCGCCGCTCCTCCTCCGCGCCGCGCCCGAGTTTGCAGCGGGTAAGCGGCGGATAATCGCAGGGAGGTGTGCGAAGGGGCATGTGCCAGGTCCTCCAACGCGCGAGCCGTGCTGCGGCAACTGCTCAGCGACCGCTGACTACGCCGCCTGCTCGACAACGCCGATGAGCTCGCGCTGCAGCCGCAGCGGTTCTGCGAGGCGCAGCAGTTCCTAGTCGTCCCTGCGGGCGTCGGTCCGCCGCCGCATGTGCGATCCGCCCATGGAGGTGCACGGCTGGGGCCGCCAGCTCGCTCCCGTGCGCCGACGGCCGCGGGGGGCCGTCTGTCCTCGGCGCCACTGGGCATGGCGGCGCCGGGAGATGGGCAGGCGCCGCCACCCAGCGGCACAGGCAGCAAACCATATTTTTTTGCAGGATGTGGACATGGGCGACGAGGAGGGCAGCAATCCATATTTTTTTGCAGGATGTATTCGAGATCGAGCAGTGGCCCGACTTAGACCGACGGCGACGACGAGGGCCATGGCGACCCAGGCCCCGGGCCAGGGGCGGAGCCTGTGGCACCAACCGCGCAATGCGCCGCCACTAACTGCGGGGGCGCGGCGCGCCCCTCAGAGAGGCCGCCGGGAGCCCGCGCGAGCGGCCGCGCCGCCGACAGCAGTCGCAGTGCTGGGCAAGGCCCGATGGGCACCCCGCAGGGCGCGCCTGCTTGCAGCGTGACCCCCCCCTCTGCCAGTGGCCTCGCGGGGGGCCCAAGAGGACGGCGACTGGGCCAGACTCCGCGGCAGGGCCGCTGCCTTGTTGCCAAACGTTTGGAAAAGCAGCGGTGACCTTAACTTCGACGGCTGGGCTCAAGTACCCGCGCTGTACGTCGCCGCGCTGATCGGCGCGAGGTGCCCCTTCGCCAGTTTGGGCCAGCTACTCTGCGTTTGGATGACACCATCGTTTGAGTGGCTGCTGCGCAAGGTCGCATTCGCCCTCTGGCGCCGCGCCGCCGAAGAGCGCGCGCGGCGCTTGATGGCCCTCCGCGCGCAGGCGGCCAAACATCCACGGGCAGCAGAGGTGGCCAGGGGGGGCCATGGAGCTCGCGCGCGGTGGTCTCCTGTCCTTTCACTGTGTGGCCTCGGGGCGGCGCTTGCGGAGGCGAGTAAGTCGGGCCCGCTGTCGGCTGCGCTGCAGCCGCCGGCCCCTGGAATTCCGACGGCGCCCCAGGGCAGCATCGTGTTCGCTGGGGCGACGGCGCGTCGGCGCCTGCGTGGGGGGCCGTGGGCGACCCTGGCGCGAGCGAGCTCCTGGCCAACATCGGCGCGTGGGTCGCCGTGAATAGCAAACATGGCGCCGAGGTGGAGGGCGAGACGAGCGCGGGCTAGAGCAGCAGTGGGCCCTTGCTCGCGCTCCTCGGCGCGTTGGATGCTCGGGCGTGTTGGGCGGCTGTGCAGCTGCGCCGCCGTCCGCGGGCGCCGCTTTCCAAGGCCGCCGCGCAGGCAGCGGGCATGGCGCGCCCTGCAAATGCAGCGGAGACTTGCGGGCGCGCGGGCGGCGTGGGCGCAGACTGCCTGGGACCTAGAAGGGGTGTTCGCGGCCATCCGCGACGAACCGGCACCGGGGCAGCTCGAGAAGCTGACGCCGACGGAGCCAGATCTCATCCCGCTCGACATCGGCGGCTTCTCGATCGAGGACGGTCTTCGGCCGAGTGGAACGGCGGGGGCGACGGGGGCGATCGGACCTTGCAGGGTGAGCGGTGCGGAGGACCAGGGCGGGCCGCGTCGCTCCTCGGACGAGGGATGGCCGCTTCAAGGCGAGCTTGTGGTGAGTCCCCGCGGTGGCCGTTCGGGATTCTCCCTTTCTCGGTGCGGCGGACGGCGCGCGCCCCCGCTAATGTCAGAGGAAAGCGCCTCAGCAGCTAGTGAAGAGCGGCGTGCTGAAGGAGGGTGGAACCAGAGGGGCGACTTCGACGAGCAGGACGACGGCGGGATCAAGAGCGCGCCTGACTGGAGAAAGAGCTCGCGCCAGGCGGGGTGGACGGGGGCATGCAGCGGGTCCCGGGGGCGGCGGCTCCAGGGACTTCGGCTCCTGCGTCAAGT